AGAGTCTACCCCGAAGTTCGGCCCGATGTCGAAGGGAAATACGTCGACTATTGTGGTACGTGTGCGGGGGGATTGACGACTTCTCGATGTACTGGGGGTCCCCTGTCCAGGCAAACTTCATGTTTTTGTGTATGGGGCTCAAGAGGAACTCCTGGAAATTGAAGTGGACCCTGGCATCCAAGAACGCTCGGGCGACAGTCTCGAAAGTCACGACATCGAACTTCTCGTCAACCTTAAGCACCACGATGTTTTTGCAGACGCAGACGATGACAGTACGAACACATTCTCGGCAAAGGGTCCGAGATAAAAGAATCAGGTCATCCACACGTAGCGGCCTACGGCCAGGTGGCGGAAACGCGAAGGGTTGGCGGCATCATACAGGGTCTCGCAGCGAGAGAGCACAATCTCAATAATACAGCCTGAATGCAGGCCTCCGATCGGAATGCCCTGCAACTGCTGCAAGAAAACGTCACCCATGCGGAAGATTCGCATGCCGAGAAAGCCGTAAACTGCACGTCGCATGGACTTCATTGAAAAGATAGTGCGACCTGCATGCGGTATGTTGTAATCTCCTCCCCATCGTGTATCATATCCCCGATCCATGTTCGTAATTGTGACAGTGTGTGTTTTTGTGACCTCTGGGGCCCTTTCGAAAAGCTCCTGGACTGCTGTGTAGATCGCACTAGTATCGAGGTCCTCGTAGGCCTGACCTGCATCAGCCACGAGAATGGTCGGGTGGCTCACCCTCCGACCGCAGCGATGGCAATGGCAGCAACCGGTATGAGAGCAGCGGGTCGGGCGCCGTAATCTCGATACACGGTCAGCCAAGAGAGGGAAGGCTTGACTCATGTCACGTAAACCCCATCCAGGCGTGAGATATTTCATGATATGTTGAAGGCCCCGACCTAGCAGCCGATATACACGTCTCCCTGGGAGACGAACAAAGGAGCATCTATTCCTGAATCACGCATGTTTGGGGTCCTGGCATCGATGTTCACCAGAGGGGGTCCAGCAGTTCAGTTTTACCGTGGGGTATATATAGGGCAACTTGTCATATGAGCATTGAGATCGTCCACGGAATAACCTTTTTTTGGAATAGTAAAGTCCAATAGCATACGGTACCGGGATACGACTTGGGATTTGGGAGCATGTAGGATCTTCCACCTATGAGGGACACGGCTGATCAGATAAATCCAACGGAGCATCATGTAGAAGGGAGCCATAACCCAAAAGGACGTTAGGGTCCTTATCTTCAACCGTGATGCAAGCCGAGAGCCCAAGGGATTTTGCCTCAGAAACCACTGCCGAAGTAGATGACGAGAAACGTTTTGAGGAGGCTTGGTTACGGAGCCCTTGGGGAAGCCGACACCCAAGTTCGTGAAGATGAGCCTCGGGGAAACGAAAATGACGGAGCCACTGCCCACGCCTAGCGTAAACCTCACGACGAATCTCCTTCTCGGCACCTTCAAGGGGAGTTCTGCCAGAGAGCGAGATGCGGCCAACGTCTTGACCAGAGGTAAGGCAGGATAATAAAAAGGGCTGGGCGTCGGCTAGATCACGAAACCGAAAGGCATGCACACGCTAAACGACATCCAGGCAACGTCGCTTGATAGGTTGCGGCGGTGCCAGCGCAACGCATGTCAACTTCCGCATCAGGGCTGACCACTGCGGGCGGGCACGTGCAGAGCAACGCAGAGTTTCTTCGTGCCATTCACGAACTGGCGGCAACATTCCGCGGAGGGGACATGGAGGTAGTTCTTGCACGGGAGGGGGACATCGTGAAGGCGACAGTTTGTACTTACATGTGCACGTGCGCGTAGTCTGTCATGATCATGTGGAATAACAGCACAAAATAGCCAAACGGTTGTTGGGAAATCTGCTGGAAACGCACGTAGCCTGGAGGCTTTTTTCCAAGCAATCTCGTCGGGTTTAACGATAAGAAACTTCACAAACAAGGGAAGGTATCCTGGGTGGTGGATGTCAAGTGGTCCCTGGGTTCCTGTCGATTTGACAAAGGCTTGGAGGTAGACCTGGTACACGAATTTGAACTGGTAGCGTAGAATAGCTTGTAAGCGAGAACGGCTTTCGAGGTATCGTTGTCGAGAAACATACTGGGGCGCGAAGCGATCCATCATGCGAGAGTGCCAAACATCCGAAGAGTCCATGAAATCCTGCAGGGCTCGGGAACCAGACCTGGAAGTACGTCCGTTTCGTCGACGTCGGCCCTGGGTGCGATGTTTTCGACGACGAGCACGAACGGGAACAGGAATATGATTGGCCTCGTGGCGGTGTAGGTTAATGCACGCCGACTCGACGGAGTAGATCTCATCGGTCGGAACATAATCAACCGCAAGAATCGGGAACTTATTTCGGCCATCCTTGGAGAGGAAAATACTGTAGCGGGTATCGTGGGGTCCTTTTTCACCAGACAGCACTCGAGCCCATCCGCGAACATGTTCACGAAACCTGCTAACGAAGCCTGTGGTACGCCCAAGGCCGC